TTTCTTTTTCACCCAGAGGGTGATGAGGCACTGGAACAGGTTGCCCAAGGAGGCTGTGGATGCCCCATCCCTGGAGGCATCCAAGGCCAGGCTGGATGTGTCTCTGGGCAGCCTGGTCTGGTGGCTGGCAGCCTTGCACATAGCAGGGGTTGAAACTAGATGAGCATTGTGGTCCTTTTCAACCCAGGCCATTCTATGATTATGATTCTTTCTGAATGTTGTATCACTTGGATCCAGACCAGCAGAAGCAGCTGTGTGCTGCTGTCACTGCCCACCTTCTGGCAGTCAGAATGCAAAGGCTGCTCAGGATGGGTGCTGCAGAAGATGCTGTGTTGCTGGACAGGGAGGGGTTTTATTCTTTCCATTCTTGCACTGCTCTTCAAGATTCGCTTTTTCACTGATATTTCTTGTTCTTTTCATTTCAGGACATTGATATTAATACAGATGATGAACTGGATGCATATATCGAGGACTTGATCACAAAAGGAGACTGAATAGCCCCATCACACATCCTCAGGAAGTGTGGAATTGCTGGTTACTTCGATGGAGTTGTGGATTCCTGCAGTAGAAGTCTATGACAGCAGATGAAAGAAAAGAGCTTGTAGACAGTACTGCCATTGTTTTGGTGTACAGGTTGTTGTGACTGAAAAAGACATTTGTGCTTTTGGCAGGAAAGTTTTTAATATTATAATTCTTTGAATTTCTTTCTTCCTTTTGTTTATAAATATTTATTTTTAAAATAAATGGGAACTGTGCCTGGTATGATGGGAGGGTTGCTGTGTGGTTTTAGTGAAGTAAAAGTGTGGGTCCCCTTTTTGCATCTGAGGTATGTGCTAAACTTGGAAGACCAGAATCTCATGCCTAACAAGTTGTCTCATAAGAATCTGACAGGAAGTTAAAACAAGGTTTTAAAGAGTGAGAGAGGAGGCCAGGACTTGAGACTACTCTTGGTGTAGAGAAAAACAGTTGGATCCCTACTCTGTAGCTCAGGTCTCTAAACAGTCTGTGTGGAGGGGATGCAATTGTGAGGGTTCTCAAAGCTGAGTGTGGGGGTAGGGATTGGCATTTGTGCAGTTGTTGAGTGCAGGGTCTGTGTAAGCAGGTGGAGTTGGCATGGTGCTGACAGTCCAGAGGATGAGGATCCTTTAAAAAGAGTATGGCTGCTCATGTGGCTCACAGTGAATTGCAATGATCAGAGGAAGAAAGCTGGAGTTTACTTTCTTTCCTAGCAATTATTGCACATTATTGCTGCTGTTTCTTTGAGACATAATTGCAACAGCAGCACAGCCCCTTGACCAGCTGAAAATGAAGTGACCCTATGTTCTGTCCTGACTCCCTCAGGTTTGTGTTGCTTTGATCCACTTGCCATTCCAGATAATTTTAATTGAAGTACTGGAACTCAGAGCCCTTGGGTCAGCAACAAGGACGTTGCCTTTCCCTCTTGCTCCAAGCTGGAGGCTGAACTGCAGCTCCTTGCAGACCACTTCTTGCACAGACCATGTGGTTTGAGTTCATTGGCCAGTTTTCTGCTCAGCTCTGCTCACACAAGGTGAGTAAAAATGAGTCCATGCTCAGAAACCTCTACAGCCCAACTGCTTAATGAGTCACAGCGTGACCAAGACGTGCCCACCTCCAGGAATACCAAATGAACTGCACTGTTGCCATTCCTTTGTAAGCTGAATGTGTGATAGATGTTGCAGGGGGAAAAACCAGTTCAAAGTAAACATCTGTTACTGAACAGTTCTAAGTTCTGCATACCACAGGAAAAATAAAAAGCAGAAGAGAGGGAAGATTGGTTCATTTACCTGCATTTCAGGTCCTTGTGACAGCATACTGTCTGAGGCTGATTGCTTTCATTCAGGTTGAGGATCCTCGTGTACTTGAAGGTAAGAAGCATCCTTCCATAATGCAGGAGCAAACTCCACCAGCTTCTCAAGCTCTTCAAGTGTGTTGGAGGTGTGTTAATGGGGGTTGCACACTGCTGCTCAGGTGGAGATGTTCCCTCTGTAGGACCTGTGTTCTGTGTTAAAGTGAGAAGAAGCCTTTGTCCTTCCCAGCAGGAATTCTGAAGAATTAGATTTCATTGAAGTACAGCTCAAGGATAATGCAGTTTGTAAGCTTTAATTCTTAACACTGGAAGCATACCAGTGTAGAACCAATAGTCCTCAGGTGTTTCTAACTGATTCCATACTCCTCCCTTTAGGAAGGTATTACATGATTTTATTCCTCTGTTTTCTGGGAACTTATTATTTTCAGTTTTAAATCTTCTTCATGGCATTTCATCTCTGTTCTCGTACCAAATATTTCTGATCAAGTTATATTTCTTCACTGGAGTTACATTCATCAGGGCAGCTGATGTGCAGCTGCCTCCTCTCACCTTCAGTTCTGCTAGGAAAAGGAAGCCAAGAACTCTTAGGTGCTAATAAAACCATTCTCAAGACCTTCCTGCTATTTCTTTGCAGCGGTTTCAATTTTACTTAAAATCATGGAACCATTTGAGTTGGAAGGGACTACTAGAGGCCATCTGGTCCAACTCCATTGCACTGAACAGGGACACCCACAGCTGATCAGGTGCTCAGAGTCCCATCCCCTCACTTTGGGTGTCTGCAGGGACAGGACATCCATGCAGGTGCAAATACATGTATTTAATAATGAGGCAGGAAAATAAATGCTTGAACATCAACTTTTGGGTCTTGCTGTGGTGATTTTTCCGGGATAACTTTGTCTTAGTCTCAAGAGGAAAGAAGAAAGAGCTGAAGGAGCTCCTATCTAAAGGCAGCCCTGTGTTGAGGGTGTTTTCTGTATGTCTTCAAAGCCCATGTGTGTGCCAGGAAAGGCTTTGCACAAGCTCTGTTCCAGTAGTAGCACAAAACCAGCATCAGCTGCCTTTTCCTCTTTGGCAGTGTTGTGCTGTGTTGTGATTCCCATCCTACTGTTCACTCGGTGTGTCAGTGTAGAACTAGCCCAAAGCTTGTGGCAATTGGTCCCTCTGTGAGTGAGGGATGTAGTCCTGTGCCTGCAGCTATCTTCAATTATTTCTTGTTTGTGGCCTCGGGGTCCCAAGATGTAACTCACATTTGACCAATGCCTTCAGGCTGGGGGCATTAAGGCCCTTCGAGGCCAGTGTTGTGACCAAGCCCTCAGAGCAAAGCATCTGCTGTGTTGGTACCTGAGGAGCAGGCTCAGGCTGCTTGTGGCCATGGTTCCAAGGCTGCAGCTGAGGCTGGCTGGGGCAGCAGTGGTGTGCAGGCTTGGGATGCTCAGCCCCCCTGAGCTGCTCTGTGGGGCTGAGGGAATCTGCAGCCCAGCTGCCATGGGGGCTCATGAAATGTTGCATTGTCTATGCAGGGGCTGTGGGTGCCTGGGAACGTGGGCATGAGCAGAGGTGCCAGCATCGTGCTGCCGTGTCTCCAGGGCAACACCTCAGGGCAGCAGAGGAATCCCCAGCCCATAGGGCAGCCCCAGCCTGACCCTGGCTTTGTTGGCTCCCTGCTGTTTGTTCGGAGACAAGAGGATGAGGCCTTCCTTTTCCTGCCAGCTGCCTGGAAGCAGCTCCGCCAACATAAAAAGCTCCACTGGTGTCTGCCCTGCAGGAGAGAAGAGACCCACTGAGTGCTGCACTGAGCCCTGTGCCAAGGCACCGTGAGGGGCACAGTGGGCCCTTGTCCCTGTGCCAGGAGCAGCTGGCAGCTTCCTACCACTGCCACGAGCTCTTGGCAGCAGAAGCATCCTCAGCCCCACAGCAGCACAGGGCAGCCTGAGCCTGGCCCAGCTGCAGGAGCCATTGTGCCATGGCTGCTCATCCTGAGGCCCGGTGCACCCCTAAGGTGGACCCTGGCTGTGGGACCCCTTGGAGTTCTGTATGCCCTCATGCTGTAGAGCTGCGTTGCCCTTCGGTTCCTTTCCATTGCCCTCCTGCCTTCTCCCCAGCTCTGCTGGCCTTGTGCAAGCCACTGTCCCACCATATCTGAGCCAGGGGACAAGCAGAGCATCAGTATGCCACCACCATCCCCATCCCAAAGCTCTGCATCTGTCTGAGCCTGAGCAATGAGTAGATTTGGAAGTTGGAGGCAGTGCCCGGCTCCTGGCGCTGGCCCAGAACCTGCTCTTTCCTCCATGGGCACTTAGGAGCGCAGACACTCCACACACATCTCCCAGGTACGAAGCAGTGGAGCAGAAACCCAGAGAAGATCCCAAGCTGTCCCAGCTCCTTCTCCCAACACAGGGGTTGGCACCCTGGGGCAGCAGGGAGGGGACATCTCAGCGCAGAGGCCCAGAGCAGAGCTAGGGTGATGGAAGAGCCTGCGGGGTCACCTCTGCCTATGCAGGACACACAGCCTTGAGACTGGCAGGTGCTTTTCATGCTGGGATGCCTTCCCTCTCCCTCAGCCCTCCATCCCACTGCACATGATGCCCACAGGAGGGCCAGCTCCATCACCACCCCCTGTGCCTGGGGTTTGGCAGCTCACCCCTCATGCCCACGGCTGCAGGGATGTGGCTCTGGGTCTGGTTGGAGCTCACACTGCAGGGCACAGCAGCCTCTTGCAGAGGTTGAATGGTTGGCAGGAGAGCTGGAGATGTGACCTGCTCAGGTGGAGCTACCATTAAAGCAAGGAGGAGCTGCAGGAGGGCTCCAGGTGACCGCACAGGGCTGGGCTCAGCACGCTGTGGCCACAGTGTTGGGTGTAGGTGCTGGGACAAAGAACCCCATTGGATTTGCAAGAGCTGGGACTCAAAGGAGAAGCCTTTTGACTGCCAGCAACCACCCTGCCCCAGGACAGGGTTGTTCTGTGCCAGCAGGAAGGGATAACTCCACTGCAGCACTCCAGGAGTGCAATCTCACACCAGCCCCACGCTTACACCAACGCAGGACTAACTCCTGCCGAACGCACTCTCCGAACCCGGTGCCACTTTAGCGCAGAACGCCTCCAGCGCTAAACTGCGCTCGGGGCAGCGCCGCGTGGGCTCCGGCCGCGACGGGATGAAGAAGGGAGCGAGCTCCGAGGGCGGCACGGCCGTTTATTGGGAGGAAGGGGCGCCGCTACACCTTGGTGCCCCCCGAGGAGGGCAGCTCGGAACGCTGCGTCGGAGCGCTCAGCGTGGAGGAGGCGGCGGGGGGCGGTCGGGCTCCGCGCAGCCCCAGCAGCGCTCGGCACTGCGCTCGGAAGCGGCCGTCGAGGAAGGCGTAGAGCAGCGGGTTGAGGCAGCTGTTGAGGTAGGCGAGGCAGGTGGCGTAGGGATGCAGGCGGGAGATGAGGCCGAGCAGAGCGCACGGCAGCTCCAGCAGCCCGGCCGCCGCCAGCACGAAGAGGCTCTTCAGCAGATGGAAAGGCAGCCAGCAGCCTGCGAACACCCCGACCAGCGCGGCGATCAACCGCAGCAGCCTCCTCCTCGCCGCCGCTTCGGCTCTGCGGGGCCGCAGGTGGCGGCGGACGGCGCTCCCCACGCAGCAGTAACACACGGCCATGAGCAGCAGCGGAGCGGCGAAGCCCAGCGCGGTGGTGCCGAGGCTGAGCGCCGCCGCCGCCCGCTCCGCGCCGCCCCCCTCCCCCCATAACCGCAGGTCGCACAGCGTGCGGTTCCGCGCGTCCCTCCGCGCCTCGCGGAGCAGCAGAGCGGGCAGAGCCGCCGCCGCCGCCGCCGCCCACAGCGCGGCCAGGGGACCCAGAGCCGCGGGGCGGCGGAGACGCGCGGAAGCGGCGCGGGGCGGCGGGGGGGCGGCGCGGAGCACGGCGCGGTAACGCTCGGCGCTCAGCCCGCCCAGGCAGAAGGCGGAGGCGAACATGTTGAGCAGCACCAGGTAGCTGCTGAGCTTGCAGAGCGCCGCGCCGAAGGGCCAGTGGAAGCGCAGCGCCGTGTAGGCGGCCCACAGCGGCAGCGTGGCCACGAAGGCCAGGTCGGCCAACGCCAGGTTGCCGATGTAGGCGTCGGCGGAGCGCCGCTTGGCTCGGGGGCCGCGCCACACCGTCAGCAAAACCAGCGCGTTGCCCGCCAGCCCCAGCACGAAGACCAGCGCGTAGAGCGCGGGCAGCAGCGAGAAGGACGCCTCCCAGTCCGCCTGCCAGGCGCACGCCGTCCCGTTGCCCTCCTCCTCCTCCTCCTCCGCCTCCCCGTAGTAATAATCCGCCTCCGCGTACTCCATCGCCCCGCGTCCCCCCGCGCCCCGCGGCGCTTCACCTTTAATAAGGGGACCCCGCGCACCGCCCCGCGGAGGCGGAGAGCGGTGGGAGCGGCTCCGGGGGCAATGGAGGGGGTGCGGGTACCCAAAGTGCGGCCGCGAGGGACGGGGGGCTGTGCCGGGGCTGCGGGAGTGGGGATCGTGCGGGTGGGAACGTGAGCGGGAGGGGACGGGGGGAGCGGGATGCAGGTAGGGATATCGGTAGAGAGAGCAGGTAGTTGTAGCGGGGATAGATGTAGCAGGGATGCAGGCAGGGATGCAATGGAGATGCAGTAGAATGCAACAGGGATGCAGGCAGGGATGCAGCAGGGATGGATGCAGGCAAGGATGCAGGCAAGGATGGATGCAGTAGGGATGCAGGCAGGGATGCAGTAGTGAACCAACAGGGATGCAGTAGGGATGCAGGCAGGGATGCAGCACGGATGGATGCAGTAGGGAACCAACAGGGATGCAGGCAAGGATACAGGCAAGGATGGATGCAGTAGGGATGCAGGCAGGGATGCAGTAGTGAACCAACAGGGATGCAGTGGGGATGCAGGTAGGGATGCAGGCAGGGAACCAACAGGGATGCAGTAGGGATGCAGGGAGGAATGCAATGGGGATGCAGGCAGGAATGCAGTGGGGATGCAGGCAGGGAAGCAACAGGGACAGATGCAGTAGGGAAGCAGCAGGGATGCAGTAGAGATGCAACAGGAATGCAGTAGGGATGCAACAAGGATGCGGGCAGTAGGGATGCAGTAGTGCAATGGAGATGCAGTAGAATGCAACAGGGATGCAGCTCTCCAGAGCACAGTGGGACAGCAGATGCCACTCTGGGCACAGTGGCATCCCACCCCACCTCACACCAGCAGTCCTATTGCTGGTGTGGCCATGCCAGAGGTGAGCAGGACCTGCAGGTGTCAGGGAAGAAGGCAAAGCAATCCCCACAGCTTCCTGGCCAAGATATCCAGAAGCAAATTCTCTGTCATCTGGTCTGGTTTCCTGCAGATCACTCTCTGTTTTATCTTTTTTCCCTTCTCTCAGACAAGAACATCCTTGTTTGAAGGGACCCTCACAAAAGCCACTTCCCCAGTGCTGCCAGGAGTGGGGGTGTGGGGCTGCTGCACACAGTAGAGGTTCTTCCCTTGCTGGGATGGGGAAGGTTCCTGTTCACCAGTGTGGCTGATGCCCCTGTGTTGCAGTGGCCCTGTGCTATGGAGTTGGCCCTGATGCAGTGCTCCTGTGACCTGTACTGGCCACATCCGTTGTCCTTTTCCCATAAGGCCTGCTGGGATGCCCTGCTCTGGACTTTGATACCATCTTCCCTGGGACATCTTTAACCATCACCAATCCCTCCACTATGCAAAGATGGAAATGTCTTTGTCCAACATTCTGTCCTGCCAGGAGCTGCTGGGGGAGCCATGCCTGCATCAGAGGGACAGGGGAGGCTCAGGGCTTTGGGAGCTGTCCTGCATTCTTTGCAGGATTTGGGGAGGGCTGGTCTGGCTGGTGCTGCTCTTGACTTGTTCCAAAGGCAACTGAATTCCTAAGCAACTGAACTGGCAGGAGAGTGAGAAGTGCTTTTTAAGTCAGGAAATCCAGCTGAAAGGACTGCAGGAGGAAAAAAAAAAAAAAAAAAGTCATATTACATTATTTCACACCTTTTGGCACAGCGTCTCCAGCAAACCGAAATGCCATACAGCAGGAGCTTGCCTGTCCTGATCCCCCTTTTATTTTAAGGTCCAGTGCTGTGACCAGTGTGGTGCCCTCAGCCCAGCTGCTCTCACACCAGCAGATCACGCACTGTGAGTACATCTTTCCTCCTGCTGGCCCACATTTCAGTGTTGGGGCTCCTTGCTATTCATGCAGAGGATTGTAGCTTCCCTGTGTGGTTTCTGCAGGACCCTGCATCACGTTTGCCTGTATTCTCCATTTTCTCTGTCTGTCGTGAGGCACTGAGGCTCCAGCTGGTGCAGTAGGGAGGGCTGCGTCCCTGGCACTTGCAGAAGCATTCACAGGAGGTGCCTCTTCCTGTCTGTCTCCCCACAGATTTCGTCTGTCGCTGCTTTTTTTCAGCAGCAGCTGCACCTCCACTGAACTTCCCATAGAGGCTCTTCAGTGCTTCCTTTTCCCTGAGATCGCTGCCCTACAATGGACGGAAGATGAACGAGCAGCTTTTCTAACATTTCTCATATCCCTGTATTTGCACCTGGGCTGTTTTTCCAGCCTCCAGATAAGTTTTGCCTCATCTGCCTTTCGAGACAGTATCTCATGATCTCACACACTCCTGGCCCTGGGGGCACCGCAGCTTTGCCACCCACTTACCAGGAAGAGCAGTCCTGTTGGGAACCAGGAGGAGAAGGAGCCCTGGGGTGAGCTGAGCCCTGCAGATCCAGCCAGGGCAGAGCCAGGAGGAGCAGTCAGCCCTGCTGCATTGCTGGTGGGCAAAGCAGAGGAAACCTGCTCCTTTCCCAGGGCAGATGCAGTTACAGGGACAAGTTTGTCAGCTTCATAAACAAATATACACAAGGCCAGTTAAAACCTGGGGGCATTTCCCTGCGAAGATAAGGAGGATGGTTTGCAAATCAGGAGAGCAAAAGGAAAATGCTGCTAATGTTATTCTTGTTTTCTAAGCCAGCAATTGCCTGCAGGTGCAAGGCTTTCTTAACCACGCAGAGAAAAGGAGAAGGCAGTGCTGAGAGTCTTCCACATCCCCGGGGTTCAAAGGGGAAACACAGTGGGTATTGTATTACTTTCCTACTAAATGCAGGTGGTGGTGTTCAATTGTTTGAGGGCATTTGAAAGGGCCAGCTCTCTGTTTTGATCCCAGATTTCTCCCAGAATCAGGGATGGGGGCAGTGGGCAGATGGAGTGGCACAGGGTGGGCTGTGGGCTCTCACAGTGCTGCTTTGAGGACCAAGATGCTGAAGTGCAGGGAGTGAGTGGATTCTTATGGTTTCAGTGCTCTTTAGAGGCACAGAGTCGCAGCAAGGGCAAGGGCACCATAATTATTATGGCGTATTTAGTGATACGAAAGCATGGATCTATGGATATTGATCTTGAATAGGTTCCTTTGCATCCATTTGTTTAAGCATTGCCTTCGACTGTTGCTTTGTTATTGACCACTGGAGCTTTCTACTTGTGTCTCTACCAACGTGGAAGGTTGCCAGGAAAGCTCCAGGGGTTGTTTTCCTCTCCAAAGACCCCAATGACAGCAACATGGGGTTGGTGCAGTCCCTCCCAGACTGTCACCTGTGCAGCTCAGGACGTATCCTGACCCAGCAATGTTCTGTTGGGAAGCAGGAGGTGCTGCCCTGTGCCCCCCCCATAGCTGCGGCCTTCCCACTGTGCCTGCAGGGCTGCGGCCTACACCCAGCGTCACCCCTGCTGCCATTTGTGGGGCTTATAGAGGCAGTGCTGGGCTCTGTGCTGTAAAAGGGGCCTGGTGGGGAGCCACAGCCAGCCTTCTTCCTTTGGAAGTGATAAAAAAAAGATGCCGTTGAAACCATTCTCATACCCGCTGCCTGAAACCAGGTTCCTTCACGCAGGCGGAGTTGTGTATAAGTTTAAAATCCGCTATGGCAACTTGCAGAGGTGAGGAAGCTCGAGTGAGGAAATGAGGGCTTTGATAAACAGCCTCTAAAGGTGTGGTAGTTTGACATCTGAGAAATGAGAGGGAAGGGACTGTGCTTTAGTTTGCCCGTGCTGCTGGCAGTCAGGGAACGGAAAGGAAAACAGCCTTTGGATGTGCAGAGGATGACGATTTGGAGAGTTGTGTGTGGTCATGGTAGTGAGCGAGGCTCAAATTGGAAGTGATACCAAATCACAGGGTGCTGATGAGTCTGGTCAGATGGGGAAGGTGATCGTTAGAAGGTGAAAACATTGCTTCCCTGAGGGTATTGCCTTGGAGGGATCTGCTGGTATCTGCTTAGTCAGAATGCAGACATGATGAACGGGTCCTTCTTTGAGAGAGCAGAACCCTTTCAGTACCTAAAGGGAGCCTACAAACAGGAGGGGAATCAGCTCTTTGAAAGGGTGAGTGACAGCAGGACAAGGGGAAATGGTTTTAAGTTGAGGGAAGGGAGATTTAGGTTGGACGTCAGGGGGAAATTCTTTACAGAGAGAGTGGTGAGGTGCTGGAACAGCTGCCCAGAGAGGTTGTGGATGCACCTGGAGATGTTCAAGGCCAGGATGGATGGGGCCCTGGGCAGCCTG